AGATTTGTTTGATGAGATGGGCTAAATAATAACCTGAGCCCAAAATAAATCACAAAAAACCCATACGAAAGTGTGGTCAGAGCCCATTCGAAAAGCCAGTATGATGTGTTTTAAACAGAGTCTCTGATTGGAGGATTTATTTTGCTGACGTGGATAGGCTAACTGCTCTTCATATGCTCCTTTTAATATAGTTTAGATTATAAAAAAAATATTTCGCATATGATTTATCCATAATGTTGCAGCTTACCCAAAATTTCAGATAGTATTACTATAAATATTGTTCAACAAAAGTTGAAAATTTTATTGAACAATTTAGGTCTTTTTTTTAACATCTGGTGAACAATCTAGGTGAAAGTTGAAATTTGTTACCTGCAAATAATGTAAACTAGGTGTTTTGCCCGCACTTGCGGGCTTAATAATTTTACAAATATCTATAAATAAATAAATAATCAATTTATGTAAATTATAATAAATTATAGTTCACAGCCTCAAAATATTTAATAAAAAAGGAAACAAATTCTTTTTATATATAAAATTTTTCATCATCATATAAATAATTTTCATTACACAACTTATATTTGAAAATACTCATGAATTTAAAACATTTAGTAATAAATTAATATCATTTTTAGACATAAGAAATTATCTTTAATAATGTTTTGGATAACGTAATATAAATTATCTATACATAAATTCTTTCCGAATTGATTTTTCATAATTAACTATATGTTAACAAATAGAATTATTTTTCAATGTTAATAAAGACTTTATAACACAATATAAAAAAGTTAGATAAAGATAATTATCAAATTCATGAGATTCATTTTTTAATTTAGAATTAATTATATGTTAACAAATATAATTATTTTTCAAGGTTGATAAAGACTTTGTCACATAATATAAAAAATTAAAATAAGGATAATTATCAAATAACTGAAATTCGTTTTTAATTTATAATTAATTATATATTAACTAATATAATTATTTTTCAAGGTTAATAAAGACTTTATAACCCAATATAAAATAGTTATAGATAAAGATAAATCTAAAATCATTGATATTCGTTTTTTATTTATGTTTAGTTATATTGAAAAATTTAATTATTCATTAAGGATATAAACGATATTAACCCCTCTAACTTTCAACGTGAAAATTACAAATTAATCAGCAAATTCACTTAAATTTTAAAATTGAAAATATATTTTTAAGATAACAATCTAATACAAAAGAATTAACATATTTTCTAAAATATAATATTATTAACATAAATTCTTTTTTTTTATTTTATAATAAATTATTAAAACATGAAATAAGCAAAATAACCTAAAATCATGGAGAAGTTGACAACTAAGCAAAATTACTTCTAAAATAATAATTGGAAAATATATTTTTAAGATAACAATCTAATATAAAAGAATTAAATTATTTTCTAAAAATATAATATTATTAACATAAATTCGTTTTTATTATATAATAAATTATTAAAACATAAAAATAAGCAAAATAACCTAAAATCATGGAGAAGTTGACAACTAAGCAAATTTACTTCTCAAATAATGTTATAGAGCGTTGAAAATTACAAATTAATCAGCAAATTCACTTAAAATTTTATAATTGAAAATATATTTTTAAGATAATAATATAATACAAAAGAATTAACATATTTTCTAAAAATATAATATTATTAACATAAATTATTTTTTTTTATAATAAATTATTAAAATATGAAAATAAGAAAAATAACCTAAAATCATGGAGAAGTTGACAACTAAGCAAATTTACTTCTAAAATAATAATTGAAAATATATTTTTAAGATAACAATCTAATATAAAAGAATTAACATATTTTCTAAAAATATAATATTATTAACATAAATTCGTTTTTATTATATAATAAATTATTAAAACATAAAAATAAGCAAAATAACCTAAAATCATGGAGAAGTTGACAACTAAGCAAATTTACTTCACAAATAATGTTATAGAAAAGTCATACAATGAATTAAATTAAAAAAATAATACAATAATTGAATTACGCCAAACAAAACAGAATTTCAACTTTTGTGAGTTGAAAGCTAAAGCTTACTATTAGGCCCAAGAATACTTTAAGTTTAGGCCCGTAAGAGAAAACTGGAGTAACTAAACCAAACTAATCAAATTGATTTTAACCGGTCCGGTCACGATCATCAATCTGGTTTTGCAAATACCAAGTTTGGATTTTTTTCCAATCATAAACCCTAAAAACGATTCAGCGTTAGAATAAAAAAAAAGAAAACCCTAAAAAAAGGATTCATCGCCGTTAGTCTGTTATTCTTCCTTCTCACTCTATCTTCGAAACTCAATCGCGCAGGTAAGAGCCTTCTATGATTCCCCGCTTAAATCTGCAATTTTCGTATTTGTTAATTTCAGTTCTCTAAGTAAAGCCACGGTTTTGCACAGCTCCGGAATCGGAACAGTTCTAAAACGGTTATATAATGTCAAGTCGACCTGAGTTTCTAGCTCCGCCGGAGATATTTTATGATGATTCCGAGGCTAGAAAGTATACTTCTTCCTCACGTATCGTCGAAATTCAGGTGCTTTTAATTGTTTCCCTGAAGAAAATAACTCTCTCAGTTTCTCCTGGTTTATCTTACATATAGTCTCCCTCTGTTCAAACACTTAATAGGCGAGGTTGTCTGAGAGAGCTTTGGAGCTTCTTGCTTTGCCTGAAGATGATGTTCCTAGATTCTTGCTCGATATTGGTAAAAAAAATTATTCCTGTTGATCTATTTATGATGATGAGCAATGTTGATGGTCTTGCCTATGACCATAGACAAAGAAAAAAGGATGTGTATCATTGTAGCTGACTCTGATTGGCTGCTTTGTGGATAGTCAATGAATGTAGTCATATCCAAAAATTTCTTCTTTTAGATTTGGATGGTGTGCAAGCTTATCTCTTTAGCTCTGTTGCGGAAGTGGAGAGTGACTAATAATCTGTTTTGATGGTTTAGGTTGTGGATCTGGACTGAGCGGGGAAACAATCTCTGAGAATGGGCACCAGTGGATTGGTCTTGACATCTCGGCCTCAATGCTTAGTAAGTTAAATCATTAGTTTGCCAAGGATTCTTCTACCCTTTCAGTCCTTGTCTCTTGTAGATTCTCTAAGCCAGCTTTTATATTTTTTATAACATTTTAGATGTTGCTGTTGAACGAGAAGTTGAGGGTGATCTTTTACTTGGTGACATGGGACAGGTATGTATGACAGTCTCTCTCGGATTATTGTTCGTGGTATATTCTTTTTGGAAAGATGAATGTTGACGCATTAGCAATTGCTTATCCATTTATAATCATGTCTCAGGGCTTAGGTATTCGTCCAGGAGTCATAGACGGAGCCATCAGCATATCTGCTGTTCAGGTCTGGTCTTACTTCTCAAACTACCTTATCCATTCACTTTCTCACCAGGGAGATATGCGTTCGCCTTAGTTTTTCTGTATTTTTATTTTTATTGGTTTTAACAAGCTCTTCCTTTTTCAGTGGTTATGCAATGCAGACAAGTCATCGCATGAACCTCGTTTGAGGCTAAAGTACGTGTAAAACCATTCTACTTTAGCTTTAATCAGTAAGATGATGCCTAATAATATTTGACCACTCATTTTATGTAAAAGGGCTTTCTTTGGGTCACTATACCGATGCTTATCAAGAGGAGCAAGAGCAGTTTTTCAAGTGTACCCTGAGAGTATCGCTCAGCGTGAGTTGATCCTTCGCCACGCCTTACAAGCTGGATTTGGTGGTGGACTCGTTGTTGACTACCCGCACAGGTACGTTCTTGTAGAAGCTATTTTTCAAGTCTCACATTTGATAGCGGAAACACACACATTAACACGTTGGCATGTTATGTTCTCTAACAATCTGCAGTACTAAGAAAAGAAAAGAGTTCTTGGTGCTCACATGTGGATCTGTTCCAACCAGTATTAACGATGGGCATAAAGAAAGTGGCTCGGACGATGACGACGATGATAGCGAAGACGAAGAGAACGGAATGGTAAATAAAATATATCGAAGTCTCATTACATTCTTGATTACTTACTGTTATATATGTAGAAGTGTTTATTTACCCTTCTTGGTTTTGTTTGTGAAAAGGTATGCGTGTCAGATAGGAACAGGCCAAGGAAGAAGCAGAGAACAAACAAGAAAGGGAAAGGAAGGGAATGGGTTTTGAGGAAGAAGGAACAAAGTAGGAGAAAAGGAAACGATGTTCCTGCTGACTCCAAGTACACCGCAAGGAAACGCAAGTCGCGTTTCTGATTTTCTTTAGTTTTAAAACACTAAAGATTTATAGCGTTTTCATTATGTTTTGTCGTTGAAAGAAGAAATACTGAACGCCCGTCCTTGCTGTTTTCTACACTTTGTGTGTACTTAGACCCTATGCGGTTACTTATCAAATGCGTCTTGTTATTTGCATTAAGCTACTCGTTCTCTTCTGTATTCTCAACCTTTTAAAAATTAATAATTTTTGCAAGGTAATTTATCAATACGTTCAAATACAATCAAGTGAGTGAAACAACACCATGGAGTTGAAAGCTTGTTGATCGAGAGATACCGAAATGTCCTTTTCATCGAAGCTAGTCTCAGCTTTCTATCGACAGCTGTGGGGAGAATCTAACATCCAAGCAAAGTTTGAAGTTGATGCAGAGGATAATTGATCTTACATAATGTCCAAAACCGAGTTGTCTTGTTGAGGATCATCTTCTGGTCTTATGTGTCGACAGCAAAGTTGCAATTGCACAGTAAGCTATCGTGCAACGGCTACAAGTTGCTACCTAATAAACCTCAAGAAAATGATGATTGCAAGCTAAAATATTTGGCAAATTTTAATGAGTTGGAAACCATAAACAGAACATATATTTCTGACATAACATTAGCTGTTCATGACATAAAGTTCCATCTCAAAACTAGGGCTGGGCATCATTACTCGTTACTCGCCTTAAAATTGGTATTTGACTCGTACCCGCCTTAAAAAGTAAAGTACTCGGTGTTGTCAAGGCAAGTAACAAGGCGACAATTTTCATTACTTGCAAGATTAAGTCAAGTATCAAGTATCATTATTATTTTTTGTACTTGACTCGTTCCGCCCCGTTACTTGTTCCATTACTTGCTATTTGTTACATGATCTATTAATTAGTTTTTCATATTTGTCTTTTCTTTTACTTGCATTTAGGACTAGACATAAAAACTCACTACTTTTCTTATATTTGTTACTTATTTTGTATCCAATCTTGATCTTTGAATACTCGTCGTTATCTAGTCAAGTATTACACAACAACAAATATTAAAAATTTAGTTATATGATTTGTTATTACTTGTTACTTATTTAGAGAAGATATTCTTGTTATCGTGATCATTATACAATGTTTATATACCGTAATATGCATTTTTTAATTTATCTTTTTTATATGAATAAATATTCTGTTTAAAATAATTTACATGTTACTTTAAGTAGAATAAAGAAAACAAATTTTCATGTCTATTTCTAACATAATATTATTTAGTTGGTAGTTCTTAAATATTCCGAAAAGCTTGTAAATAGTTCACAAGTACTCGTATATAGTAAGTAATGGAGCAAGGCAAGTAATTTGCAAATCATTTATTTTTCATCAAATACTCGAAATAGCAAGTACTCGTTTTAAACAAGTCAAGTACAAGTCAAAAATTTTATTATTCATACAAGGCAAGTCAAGTCGCAAGTACATGCAAAATAGCAAGTACTCGCCTTGCGCCCACCCCTACTCAAAACTCAAAAGGTTCAAAAAAAAGGAAAAACCAAATAACAAACTCTGAGATCGAAAACTAACACTGCTTCAAAAGAGTGTTTTAACGTTTGTTCTCTTTGTCTTAACCAAAGAGATCAAATCCAAAGTCTCCTTCCTCCTCTTCAGATTCTTCCTTCTTCTTCTCTTCCTCCTTAGCAGCTGCGGCGGCATCACCTCCACCACCGGCTCCTCCAGCTGCTGCACCTCCTCCGGCCGCAAATCCTCCTCCAGAACCACCACCAATGATTACCTGCTCCATTTTCATTTTCTATTATTAGTTCAACAGATTCCAAATACGCCTTTCAACAACCAAAACTAGTATCTTCACCAAATTAAAAAAAAAAAAATGACTAAGGATCAGGAACTAATGTAGTAATCATATAAGGTAATTATATTTTGAAATGTATACAATGTAGCTACAAAACAATGTAGAAGATTCATCCTAACCACTAGACTAGTAACTGAGATTTCTATAACAAACTAGCATCATTTCACTGATTTGTAACAGATCTAGCTATCTGCATTGTTTCATGAGATAGACGAGAGAGGAAGCAAATAAGAAACCTGGCAGACGGCGGATTTAGGGCAGACGAGAGAGAAGGAAGACTGAACACCACCGGATGAATCAGAGGAGAGAGCAGTCTGAACAAGCTTCCGCTGAAGATCGTAGATGGAAGAAGCGGAGGCTTCTAGCTCTCCCTCGTGTTGCTTAGCTGTCCATTCTCCGCCTTTGCTTCTGCAAACGAATGTGAAAACTCCCATCTTCTTCTTCTTGGTGAAGGTTTCTCTCAGCTGTCAAGACTAGTCGGACGGGGAAAAATGTGGTGAGTGCATTTTATATATCTTTGATTTCACGACGCAGTGAGTGAGAGAGGACAACCCTAGATGATGTCAAAGAGCCCATTTAAGAGAGTACTCAACTAACGCCAAGCCAATACAGAGCCCATTAAATGCTCTGTTTTTTTCAGTTTGGCCTTCACTTTGTGTTTTGTAATTTTTATTTAGTTTGTTTGCAAGTTACGTTTGCTTAGTTGTAAAGCTTCACTATCATTAGGGAGACAATTAAATTAACAACTCTGAAATCAGATTCGCTCTTTGTTTTAAGCTAAATTTTACAGTTTGGGTTTTTGAAACAGAGAGAAATGTAGAAGCAAAACAGAGGAGAAGAAAGGTCAGAGCTTTATGGCAGAGTGGATGGCAACAACTCCACCTACAAGGTTCTCATACTCCACCTTCTCAAATCCTGCATCTCCTATCATCGTTGCAAATCGTTCCTGCACTCAATTTTTTTCAATCAACCAGCCATTACAAACTTGAAACGCCTTATCCAAGCTATCAAAACTTTAAACCTATCTTCTCATGAATCTAGCACAAAAATCAAACTACAGATTTGATCATTGCTTGTTATTAATGTTTTTCAAGAAACACCACTAGATAAAACATCATGATGTCTATATCATTTTATCAACATCTTCCAAACCATGCAGTAAAAATTGCAAAAAACTAAGCGCAAAATTTCCAAGAGAGGTAACAAAAGGTTGAATATTTGAGAACCTGAGGAGGAAACCGACGAACACTCTCAACCAAGTACTGGTAAGAATCCCGGTCACCGGCAATTAGTTCCCCTAAGTTTGGAATGACCTGGAAAGAATACAAGTCGTATCTGCAACACAAGAAACAAAGTGAGATTCTTAAAGAAAAAGATTTAGGAACATGCGTACGTCTACAACATGTCTAATCATCAAAACTTACAGTTCTTTGAAGACCGGAATGTCAACATGGCTAAGCTCAAGGCACAAGAATCTTCCTCCTCGTTTTAGTACCCTGACAATGTGAAAGAGTTTTATAATATTATACATAAACACTGTGACATAATATTACATTCCAACACACTTAAAATCAAGTTATTTGTACCTATAAGCCTCTGCGAGAGCCTTTTCGATGTGCGTGACATTCCTTATCCCGAATGCAATAGTGTATCCATCCATTGAACTGTCATCGAAACTCAATGCCTCTGCATCTCCTTCGACCCATACCAATGACTTGTTGTCTCTTAGACCTATTCAAGATAGTAAAAGAAGCTTGAACTCTTTCATACAAAGCAAAATGTAAAGGACTCAAAGAGGACACAAATAAACATCTGAGGTTTGACCTCTCTCAGCTGCACGTTGTTTTCCAACGTTTAACATGTTGGGATTAATGTCAAAAACGTATATCTGAGTTTCCTCAATTGAAGCCTCGTCAACTTTCCGCAATGCTCTTCGTTGGACACTGTTAACAGCATCATAGATCCTAAACGCAACATCACCTGCACATTAAAAAACAATCCCTTACAGAACATTATCAACAATAAAAAACTCTTGAAGAGTTAAACAAAGATCACTAACCCGTTCCACCAGCTACATCAAGATGCTTCATCCCTACAAATGGACTCAGCTTCCCAACGAGTCTGAAATATAAAAAAAAACACCACAAAAAGTGTCAATCTTTATACAAGAGGAAACCATAACACTTGTAATAAAGACTATAAACCTTTCTTTCCATAGCCGGTGCAATCCACCGCTCATGACATCATTCATGATATCATAACTGGAAGCAACATTGGTGAAAACGTTACCAACCAATTTGCTTTTCTCCTCTTCCTTTACTTGTTGAAACCCTGAAAACCAAAACAGTGTAGAGTGAAACTCACAGAGGAGAAATCACAATCTGAATACAAAAGCATTTCTTTCGTTTAAGACTGAAACAACATGATCTTCAAAAAGAACACTAAAGAGGCAAATGAAGAGAAGGGGGGTGATAGATTTTGGAGAGTGATTACCAAAGCTTGTGGCGTGAGAATGAAGCGAAGCAAGAGAGGAAGTGTAACTCAAAACTCTTCTCACAAGCCTCCTTCTGCTGCTTAGTAACCGAAGTGTCATAGCTTCTATATAGAAAGTATATTCCTTTAATTTGAAATGTAACAGTCCAGGCGTTATTACAGAAACTAATTTAAGAATCGGCAGCTCCGAGATCGAAGTCTTGTGTTGCACAGTCCAGGCGTTATTACAGAACTAACCGGACTAAAGTTTGACCGAGCGAATATTTGACTATCTAATCGTGACGGAGTCCATATTGGGCTTTGGTAATTAAATTTAGGCCCATTATGAGTTTTTTAAAACTGTTTAATTAATATGGGACCCAATTAGTAACAGATCATCGTGTTTTTGCGCCACCGCGTAAAAATTCGCCGCACAAGGCTAAGGTTATGGTTGAAATTGATCGGCGATTGTCTAGAATTGTTTGGATCCGCGATGGGAAAGAAGAAGAGGAAGACGAAACGTAGGAATATGAGAAGAGCGAGAGAGAAAGACCTGCGACGGAGGAGGTCAAGTGAAAGTGACGAACTCGTTTACACGTTAGTGCATTAAACTTTTTTTTCTAATTTTGATTTGGCAAGAGAGCATGCGTTTATTTAGCTTATGGTAGAAGGGAAGCACGATTAATCATGCTACTTTTTTTGTTTTTGCAAGTCTACGAAATTTTAATTTAATATTTTTTCTATATTCAAGCTCAGTCTACTGTTACCAAACAAAAAAAATCCAAGCTAAGTCTACTAATAAAAAAGATAAAAAAAAACTAATATTGGAATAAACAATTGATTTTGTCTCCACCTGAAAAAGCGGGAAGTCTCACCACAAAGTTCGTTTTTACTTTCTCGGATCATCAATCACATTTTCCCTTTTTCCCTTTCTTCGCATCAAAGAGAATTTTAGAACGATATGCACCTTGTTCTTGACAAAATTCTGTAACTAAAAAGGTATTATCTTTGTAATAATTCCCTGGTTTGATTTACAGAAGACAATTGATTCTTAATCCATGTGACAACACTAAGAAATTGATTTGTAATCTCACCTTCATGCATCAAGTAATTCATCGTCCAGCTCCTTGTTTTTTTGCATGTAGGGGGTTCGATCGCCTCCAAACCATTCACTTTCTGAATATCCATCTCTAATATGAATCTACTTCCTCCTATTGAATTCTCTGTTATTGTGGCTTCCTTTTTGTGAATCACGTGCCTTTATTATGTTTTGGTTGAGTAGATGATAGAAAATGTTTTTGGTGTTAATTACAGTGGTAATTTTCAGTGATTCTGGAGAATTCTCCTTTGTTTGTTTTTTTCAATTGTGTAGATTAGGAATATCTTCTTTGTGTGTGTTCTTGTTACATGCATTGAGACATCTACAAGAACCATCTTGTTTCATTTCTTGAGATCTGTATTTACAACCTCCTCCCAGTTTGAATCTTTGTCCCTTCATTGTTCGTTGAATTGTATTTTTCAGGTTTGTTTTCTGATACTTAAGAAGCTGAAGAGAGTTTAAGCTTTTCAAAAAAAAAATGGCGACGTTTACGATGAGAGATTTAGATGAGGCTCTCCAAGGATGTGGCCAGAAATCGTAACCTTCTCTCTCACTCTTTTAATCTTTTTTTCTTATTCTACTCCTTGCGGCATTGCGTTTTTAGGTCATCTGCATATTTTTTATATCTCCTGGTTGTTGCGTTTACAGAGGGATTGAAATATGGCGTATGGAGAACTTCAAACCTGTCGCTGTTCCAAAAGAGTCTCATGGCAAATTCTTCTCCGGGGATTCCTATATAGTCTTAAAGGTCAGTAGTGTTTCGTGTTTATATCTCTCGTTGATTAGACATAGTTCTTGATAATGTCTAAAACCTTATTTAACTATCTTATGCCAGACCACAGCGTCAAGAAGCGGTTCCCTGCATCACGATATTCACTACTGGCTTGGTAAAGATTCCAGTCAGGTAACAACAATCTCTTCATATTCTCTCCTTTTTGTATATTCTTCAACGAAGAAGAGTAATGGTGATGTGTTGATTTAAACAGGATGAACATGGTTCTGTAGCCGTTAAGACTGTTGAATTAGACTCAGCGTTAGGTGGCCGTGCTGTTCAGTACCGAGAAGTACAGGGTCACGAGACTGAGAAGTTTCTTTCCTACTTCAAACCTTGCATTATACCTCATGAAGGTGGAGTTGCTTCCGGGTTCAACCACGTGAAGCCAGAGGAGCATCAGACGCGTTTGTATATCTGCAAAGGCAAACATGTCGTCCGTGTGAAAGAGGCAAGTCATGTAACAAAGTCTTGAAATGTCTTTTCACTATACTAGTTGGTGTTTTCTATATTTCATCTTGGTTTTTGTTATTCTTTTCGTTTCAGGTTCCGTTTGTTCGATCGACGCTCAACCACGACGATGTTTTCATTCTTGATACCGAGTCTAAAATTTTTCAATTCAGTGGTTCCAATTCGAGTATTCAAGAAAGAGCAAAAGCTCTTGAGGTTGTTCAGTACATTAAAGACACGTACCATGATGGAAAGTGCGAGATCGCAGCTGTGGGTAAGTGAACTAAACTGTCAAAAAACAAATGGAGGCTAAGGTTTTCACCAATGTAATTTTGCTTTTCTGTAGATGATGGGAGGTTGATGGCTGATGCTGAAGCTGGAGAGTTTTGGGGTTTGTTTGGCGGGTTTGCTCCGCTTCCTAAGAAATCAGCAGTCAGTGATGACCAAACTGCTGAGTCTGATGGGATCAAACTCATCAGGTAGAACACCTTTGATTTTAAGACAAAAGCTCATTACTGACACAGACGATAATGTTCTGACGTGAGACATGTTTGGTCTTTTCTAGTGTGGAGAAGGGACAGAAAGAAGCCATAGAGGCTGAGACTTTGGAGAAAGAGCTTTTAGACACTAATAAATGTTATATTCTTGATTGCGGTCTCGAAGTGTTCGTTTGGAAGGGACGAAATACTTCAATCGACGAAAGAAAGAACGCAACTGAAGCTGCAGAAGTACATTTCTTCTCATGCACTAAACCAATAGTCTTGTTTTGATTGGTTTTTGTTCACTGTCATTTTGTCATTCTTATTATTTTCAGGAATTTTTCCGTTCGTCTGAACGTCCAAAATCAAACCTCATCAGTGTGATGGAAGGGTTTGAAACAGTGATGTTCCGATCTAAGTTTGATTCATGGCCGGCTACAAGTACAGTTTCTGAGCCCAAGCAAGGCAGGGGAAAAGTTGCAGGTGTAGTGGACTACTGGTTATACTATTCGCATCAATCAAATTGCTGATGTTTTAAACAATCCAATGTGAGATACTTAATCTCTGTTTGTTTCGTGACCAGCTCTTTTGCAACAGCAAGGAGTTAACGTTGAAGGCCTGGTTAAGAAGACTTCTTCACCTTCTTCCAAAGACGAACCCAAGCCATACATTGATGGCACAGGAAATCTCCAGGTAGTGACTATATGTGTTCCTACATGCATTGATATGTTTGAGTAATCAAAACATAGTCTTCTGTTTGGTAACTATGAAATTTTGCAGGTCTGGCGAATCAATAACGAGGAAAAGATCCTTCTCGAAGGAGCTGCGCAATCGAAGTTCTATAGCGGAGATTGTTATATATTGCAGTACTCATATCCCGGAGATGACCGAGAAGAATATCTAGTGGGTACTTGGTTAGGAAAGCAAAGCGTCGAGGTAAATTCCATCATATATATTTATAGCTTCTCTCTCTCTCTCTCTCTCTCTCTCTCTCTCTCTCTCTCTCTCTCTCTCTCTCTCTCTCTCTCTCTATGTACTCACTGATGATATATATAGGAAGACAGAGCATCTGCTATTTCCATTGCAAGCAAGATGGTTGAATCCATGAAGTTTATGCCGGCTCAGGTGCTTATTCCCGTTGTTTCCGTTATAGATTCTAAGGTTCATATACATTTTGGATATGAATTTATTAGTCTAATCCTTACAGGCTCGCATTTACGAGGGAAAAGAACCGATTCAGTTTTTCGTGATCATGCAAAGCTTCATCACATTTAAGGTAATATCTAAGTTTGTCCTTCATGTGTTCTTTTGTTAGTTTTTAATTGGTCTGTTATTGCAATCTCTGTAAAACTTCGTTTTCATTGTCTCAGGGTGGTCTAAGTGATGCTTTCAAAAAGTACATAGCAGAGAACGAAGTCCCTGATGATACTTATGATCCAGAAGGTGTTGCGCTGTTTAGGGTTCAAGGTTCTGGACCCGAAGACATGCAAGCCATACAGATAGATGCGGTAAGTGTACTGAAACTCTCAATTAAACAGCCTTCTGGTCATCATGTTTGGTACAGGTAATGCAATTAGTATCTGGTTCCAACAGGTTTCCACAGGGTTAAATTCTTCGCACTGTTATATATTACATGGTGATTCAACTGTTTTCACTTGGTGTGGAAATCTAACTACCTCGGATGATCAAGAACTTATGGAGAGAATGTTGGATCTGATTAAGGTAATAATGTGTTAGTGAGCTCTTTTGTACATTTTGGAGCTTACCTCCTCAGATCTCTCACTTGCTTGAACCTCTGGTTCTTGTTTATTTCTCTATACAGCCAGATGAACACACCAAGGCACAAAAGGAAGGTATAGAGTCTGAACAATTTTGGGAAATATTAGGAGGGAAATCAGAATATCCGAGCCAAAAGATCAAAAAGGATGGAGAGAGTGATCCTCATCTCTTCTCTTGCACCTTCTCAAACGGTAAAACCATTTGCCAGCATTATTTCCTCAATCCAATAATTGATCTAACTTGTCATTTGCATTTCCTGGTGGGTTTTGTTCTCCCGTGATACTCTTGTGGATGTTGCTATCTTACCAGAAACTCTAAAGGTAACGTATGGTTTTCATTTTTGTAAGCCATGTTTATCTTATGATCCCACATCTCATCTTTCTTTTTATTCCCATATAGGTTACAGAGATCTTCAACTTCAGTCAAGATGATCTGATGACTGAAGATATCTTCATTCTTGATTGTCACACTGAAGTATATGTCTGGGTCGGGCAACAAGTTGACCCCAAGAAGAAACCGCAAGTGTTAGCCATTGGAGAGGTACTTAAGTTTCATTCAACTAGATATATAGATTAATGTAGTTATTCTCATACATCCTCTACCTCGTTGTCTTCCTTAACAGAAATTCATTAAGCATGATTTCCTCTTAGAGAATCTAGCAAGCGAAACACCGATATACATTGTAACGGAAGGAAACGAACCTCCATTTTTTACTCGGTTCTTCACCTGGGACTCTACTAAATCTGCAGTAAGTCACTTCTCTCTCCACACTTGCCCGAAACGTGCTCTCTGAGTCTAACACCGCTTCTTTCAGATGCATGGAGACTCTTTCCAGAGAAAGCTTGCAATCCTAACAAACAAAGGAAAGCCGCTTCTAAATGTAAAAGTTTTACCTCACTTACTCACATGTTTGCAGAATCATTCTTTTGGTTTCTGTCTAAGATGTTATGTCCCTTTTTTTACTCAGAAACCTAAAAGGAGAGTACCAGTGTACAGCGGCCGGTCCAGCGTTCCAGACAAATCGCAGCAGCCCCGGTCAAGAAGTGTGACCTCTAGTCCAGACAGATCACGTGTGAGGGGACGGTCTCCAGCTTTCAACGCACTTGCTGCAAACTTCGGGAACGTAAGCACAAGAAACCTATCAACTCCACCACCTATGGTTGGTCCAATGGTCCGGAAGCTTTACCCCAAGTCTCATGCACCAGACCTCACAAAGCTTGCCCCCAGATCAGCAGCTATTGCTGCCCGCACAGCGATTTTCGAGAAACCTAAACCTACTCCTCAAGAAACACCAACTAGCCCCGGTTCTTCTGAAGGTCTGAGCAAAAAAGAAACTTCACATTTTGATTTGGTGAGAAAAGTTGAGATAGTTGAGCTTACCCTTCTATTTATCTTCTTTTTTTTTATGTATGTAGCTACAAACGGAGCAGAGACTACAGAAGATTCAAAAGAAGAAGCAGAAGAGGAAACTAACCTCCCTACATTCCCATACGAACGCCTCACAACCGACTCAGAGGATCCTGTTCCAGATATCGACCTCACTAGAAGAGAGGTCAGATTCTGTAAACGCTAACCACATATTACAAGATTCTTTTATCTGATCTGTATGTTAACGAAGACAGCTTTTGTTTTCCAGGCATACTTGACTTCAGCAGACTTCAAGGAGAAATTTGAGATGACAAAGAGTGAATTCTATAAACTGCCAAAGTGGAAACAAAACAAGCTCAAAACGGCTGTTCAATTATTCTGAACACTTTCCTCTCGAGAACTCAGTCTTCTTCTTTTTCATCTCAACCCCAAAACCAGTAAGTCAGATTCTTGATCATGTTTTGATGCAATGTTTATCTATTGATAGATAAAGAAATCATGTTTAGTATAGTCTATCTTATAAATCCTTTCTTCCTCTTCTTTTGCAGAGGAGGGCATCATACATTTATCTTCAATTTTGAGCTGCTTACAAATAATCAAATATATATATGCTCTATATATTTTTATATATACATAAATTCAAATTTCTAAAATGTGATACTTAGACTACTTTTGTATTTGTTATATTATCTATCAGTGTGGCTGTGAGTCTTTTTCCCTGGACTTGACTTTTCTCTGTTGGTTTATACTATTATTGAAGAAACAATGTGAATAAAATCAATCATTAATCAGGTGGTCAGTAATCTTCATTAATCCCATGTTTTAAACTTTATTTTGTCACTTTATCTTATAATAATAATAATAACAATAATAAGAATTTTAGCAATAAAATCTCTCAGCTATTTTTGAATGGTAAAGAAAACTTTAACTAATTAATTTTTTGATGTTTTAACTCGTCAACTTACGAATCGTTAACATATATCTTCTTCTGTTTATAATTCTGTATCAGAAAGTGACAAACATTGATTATTTTTAAGTTGAGGGTTTGAAACATCTACTCTATTAAATAGAGTCATTCTTTTTATCTATTGATATAAGTTGTCATTTAAACTTGGACCATTTCTAGAGTGTTACAAATAATACAAGTTATATAGTTAATTAAACCGCATTACTTAAATCAAACCGACGGTTATTTATGTAATAGAGTTTTCGGATTACTTTTGTTTTTATGACATTTAATTATTTGGTTTTTGGGATTAGTTTTAAAGAAAAACTCCAAAAAATATTAAATAAACTTTCGACATTAATGGATCAAAAGTCAGTTACTATTTTCAGACCCAAAAATATTTAATATTTTCAACAAAACAAAATTATCTATTATTAATCACTTATTTTAATCATGTACTTTAAAACATGTTAATATTTTTTAGCCCAAAAATATTTAATATTTTCAACAAAACAAAATTATCTATTATTAATCACTTATTTAAATCATGTACATTAAACATGTTAATATTTTTTATTTTAAATAACAATCACTCTATCTTGATAAATTTTAATGGTAACTTTTAAATAATTTATTTTTTTTTATTTTTCTTAAATAATTTACAGATTTAAAAAAAATGTAAAGCAAAACCAAAAATCAAATCTAAAAACTAAAATCCAAAACCAAAAGCTGAAAACGCACGTTATATTTTTTGTTTTTTTTATTTACAAAATAAACTATTTCAAAAAATTTAAAAAATTATTTTGTCATCTTTTCAGTTTTAAATTACATGTTCAATTAATTGAGATTTGTTTGTTGGTAATATCAGTTCAAACTAACTCAGCGGGTCTAAAAATAAAAACCCAAACCAAAATCAAAAATAGAAACTTAAAAACTAAAAACCAAAAACCACAATTTAAAACAAAATCTAAAAATAAAAACTAATGAAAAACAACTATCACCACAAATTTTGGTAAACTAATTTTATACCAAAACATTATTTAAATTAAGACAAAACCCAATTATATAAATTTTTAATCATAAAAAAATTCCACGTTTTTCAAACGCGGGTCAAAATCTAGTCTAATCTATTAAAATAGAGATATTCTTTTTATCTACTGATACAAGTTGTCATTTAAATTTAGACCCTTTCTAGAGTGTTACAAATAATATAAGTCTTATAATTGATTGAACCGCATTACTTAAATTAAACCAACACAATTAATGTAACATGGTGACCTTAATGTAAACTATCTTCAAAACACGGCAGATATCTATGTGTCTACAAAAAACACATATATTCTCCTACAAATATGAAATGTTCTTAAAGAATATATATTATCAAAATATGGAATATGGAAATCTACTAATTATATTAATGTGGAAATCGTAATATACCATTTAGCATCTTAACAATTCCTTAAAAAAATGGAAATTTAATAATTATATGAAACCAATGGAAATCTACTTTATTAAAATAGAGTCTTTCTTTTTATCTATTAATACAAATTGTCATTTAAATTTGGACTCTTTCTAGAGTGTTACAACAAGCCATATAGTTAATTGAACCGCATTACTTAAATTAAACCGATGGTTATTTATGGGAAATAGTCTTGGGATTACTTTTGTTTTTAGGACAAATTATATGGTTTGATTTTTAGGCTTACTATTAAGGAAAAACTTCAAAAAACATTGAATAAAATTTCTATCTTAATGGATCAAAAAATCAATTATTATTTCCAGGCCCAAATGTATTTAATATTTTTAACAAAACAAAATTGTCTATTATTAATCATTTATTTAAATCATGTACTTTAAAACATGTTATTGTATTTTTATTTTAAATAACAAAAACTTTTTTTTGATAAATTTCAATGGTAAATTTTAAATAATTTATTGTTTTATTTTTCTTAAATAATTTACTAATTTAAGAAAAAATAGATGTAAAGCAAAACCAAAAACCAATTCTAAAAACTAAAACTCAAAACCAAAAGCTCAAAACGCATTGTTCTGGATAACATATTGTTATAGGTTTTGCTTTTGTTTATTTACAAAATAAACTATTGCAATTTTTTTTTTTAAATTTTTTGTCATCTTTTCAGTTTTAAATTAGATGTTCAATTATTTGAAATTTGTTTGTTGGTAATATCAGTTCAAACTAACTCAGCAGATCTAAAAATTAAAAACCCAAACAAAAGCTGAAAATCAGAAATAGAAACTTAAAAACTAAAAACCAAATTCTAAAAATAAAAACTGGAACTAAAAACTAATGAAAAAAATCGTCACCACAAATTTTGATAAACTGATTTTATACCATAACATTCTTTAAATTAAGACATAACCCAATTATATAAATTTTAGTTATAAAAAATTTCCACGCTTTCAAGCGCGGGTCAAAATCTAGTTAAAATTTAATTGAAAGCTTTTTTATTAAAAATAATTGAAGATTTTAATCACTAAAACACATTTTGAAATAAATCTGTTTATTAAAAATAAAGAAATTGATATTTGTCTAATTATCAAAAAAAAAATTGTTAACTAATAACACTTCACCTTAGACAAAATAATTGTAAACTGGCAGTGGGACGTTAATAGTATAAATACATAAATAAGAAGACTTTAAATTCAATTAAGAAAAGTTTGGTTATAGGATAATACAGATTCTACCTTTCTAGATAAAGAAGTTTGATTCACAACAGTTGCAGAATTAAAGAACAAATCTAAGAAAACTAGTTAAATACAATTTTTTTGTAGAAAATAAGTTAAACCATTAAAACATAAAACATTTTTTATATAGGATTTTTCAAGATTCCACACAAAGACGAATACTTAATAATAATTTTTATATTTGGCTTAGTTATAGATTATCATCAAATAGCTTTTTTTTTTGTATAATCCAGCAGCAACTGGTAATCAATTCTTTTTACTTAAAACTGTATTATCTGATAAATGAATTTTCCTCAATTGGTTATGTAATTAAATCCTTTCTGTATTTAGGCTACTATTGTCCCACTAACAATTTGAGATCATCTGCTCTATTAAAATAGAGTCATTATTTTTATCTATTAATAAAAGTTGTCATTTAAATTTGGGTTCTTTCTAGAGTGTTACAAATAATACAAGTCATATAGTTAATTAAACCGCATTACTTAAATTACTGATAAAAGTTGTCATTTAAATTTGGGTTCTTTCTAGAGTGTTACAAATAATACAAGTCATATAGTTAATTAAACCGCATTACTTAAATTAAACCGATGGTTATTTATGAGATATAGTCTTGGGCTTACTTTCGTTTTTATAACAAATTATATGGTTTGGTTTTTGGGCTTAGTATTAAAGAAAAACTACAAAAACATTGAATAAACTTTCCACCTTAATAAATAAAAAAATCAGTTATTATTTTCAAGCCCAAAAGGCATTTCATATTTTTAAACAAAACAAAATTGTCTATTATTAATCATTTATTAAATCATGTACTTTAAAACATGTTAATGTATTTTTTTATTTTAAATAATAATCGTTTTGTTTTGATAAATTTCAATGGTAACTTTTAAAAACTAAAAACCAAAAACCAAAATTTAAAACAAAATCTAAAAATAAAAACTAAAACTAAAAACTAATGAAAAAAACTATCACCACAAATTTTGGTAAACTAATTTTTTACCAAAACATTCTTTAAATAAAGACAAAACCCAATTATATAAATTTTTATTCATAAAACATTTTCCGCGCTTTTCAAGCGTGGGTCAAAATCTAGAAGCTTAATTAAATAAACTCCTATAGTTATTTTAAAAATATTATATATTTTAATTATTTTATTTAGTAATAAATAAAAGCAAAAATATTTTTGTAGTACCAATTCAATGTCATTCGATCATCCAATTGTATGATAAATATTTATTTAAAGTTAAAAAAGAATATACCTAGAAAGAGAAATAGCACATATAAAAGTTTGTAAAATACTATTTCTCAATTTTTTTTTGTAAAATACTAAAAGTTACATAAGCATGATAAAGTTTACTATTTAAAAAGCACTAGATTTTGACCAGCCCAAAAGGTATTTAATATTTTTAAACAAAACAAAATTGTCTATTATTAATCATTTATTTAAATCATGTACTTTAAAACATGTTAATGTATTTTTTTATTTTAAATAACAATCATTTTGTTTTGATAAATTTCAATGGTAACTTTTAAATAGTTTATTGTTTTATTTCTTTTAAATAATTTACTGATTTAAAAAAAATGTAAAGCAAAACGAAAAACCAAATCTAAAAACTAAAAACTGAAAAACATGTTATATTTTTTTGCTTTTATTTATTTACAAAATAAACTATTGCAAATTTCTGTAAAGAATTTTTGTCATCTTTTCATTTTTAAATTAGATGTTCGATTATTTGAGATTTGTTTGTTAGTAATATCAGTTCAAACTAACTCAGCGGGTCTAAAAATTAAAAACACAAAAAGATGAAAATCAAAAATAGAAAATTAAAAAATAAAAACCAAAATTTAAAACAAAATCTAAAAATAAAAACTGAAACTAAAAACTAATGAATAACAATCATCACCACAAATTTTGGTGAACTGATTTTATCCCAAAACATTATTTAAATTAAGATAAACTCAATTACATAAATTTTTAATCATAAAAAATTTATGCGTTTGATAAGCGCGGATCAAAATCTAGTTTTGTCTTAAGTTAAGGTGTTCTTAGTTAACAAAAATAACATTTGATAATTAGAGAAATTTCTGTACTTTTTTATTAAAATTTTATTTTGAATTTTTTTAATGCTTAAAACTTTCAACTATTTTTCAGTCGGGAAAAAAATTCCACATAAAAAATAAAAATTTTAATGTTTTAATTTCTCGACTTACAAACCGTTAATATATTACATTTTCTGTTATAAATTTATAGATAGAGGGTGATATACATCAACGGAATTGTAAGTTGTTGAGTTAAATCAATAAGAAATTAATTGAAGAATTTTTTATAATTTAAAAATAGTTGAAGGGTTTTATGTCCTAATAATAAATAGCCGAGAATAAAACGAGTAAAAAAGAAAATATTATTTTTGTTTAAAAACAAAATTATTTTTAAAAAAATATTATTTTTTTAAATTCGAAACCCTATCCCCAAAGTCTCATTCTTCGACTCTAAACAAAATATATTTCGAATTAATTAACAAAAAAATATAAATATATATTTAATAAAATCTTTAAGTGTTATTTGAATTATTTTAATTGTTAAGATCAGTCATTTTCTCAAAAAATATAAAAAAAAAAAGACACATCAAAAACGGCAAAAAAAAAGTTGTAAGAAAGTGAGAGTAATAGTGAAGACGAAGTAGAAGTAGAGTAGAAGCGAGGGGAGTATTGCGATCTCGTTATTGTTTCTCTACCATCCATGGCTACGGAGCGTCCTTCCTTTGAGCTCGCCAAAGGCATCAATGGCCTCGACAAAATCATCCTCCGCGAGTCTCGTAACCGCTCCGCCGAGGTATTCTCCCCTGCTAAGCCGCGGATTTTATCATCTCTATTTCAATCTATCTGTACTTGTGATTTGCTTCTGCTCCGCGGAGATTGATCTGAGATTTTTAGATCTTCTGTTATGATTTGCTATTTGTTGAATCTCTTAGATTCTTGGAGGTTTTGAGCTCGTTTGATTGTGTTATGTATATATTATGTGCATTTGATTAACGGATCTGCGCGTTTATCTTGCTGATGAATGTGTAAATGTAAGCTTAATCTATGAATCTATTGTGTAAGATTGAGTTTTCTTAGAGAGATTATGTAAAATTAATAAACAGAGTGAGAGCTCTCTGCAAATTTTTACTCATATCTGTATGATTACTAATTTTAGTGATCTTGATTGGAATGCAGGTATACTTGTATGGTGGACATGTGACTTCTTGGAAGAATGAGAATGGGGAAGAGTTACTTCACCTCAGTAGCAAGGTAATGTAGATCAAATTCCATCTGATTTTGAGATTGAGTTTCGTTTTTCACAAAATGTGTCATGAAAGAAAATGATTCAAATTACGTTAGAAGTGCTCAAGGTTATGTCCCGTTTAACTTGGCTTTGTGAAGAAAATAAAACGGTGCCTAAAGATGTTGTGGTTGGATGCTAAGCATTTATGGTAATATGCATTTCATGTTCTTTCTCTGATTGGTTCAAGGAAGTTGTTGACAGATTTTGGAAAAAAATTTGTCTAAATTCCATTCGTTACATCGATCATAAGTAACTGTAAAAGGAAAAGATCTTCACTTCTTTAGCTTTATTTTTTAAAGAAGCATGTGAGTTAATAGAGGTTTTTGATTTTGCAATCTAGTGATTTGCTCATACTAGAGCAGTTTTTGTTTTGCCGGGTTACGTAAGTGTATGACTCCAAGCATTATTTGCCATAGAGATCTAAAACCATATGCTATGCATTGTGCAGGCTGTATTCAAGCCTCCAAAACCAATCCGTGGAGGGATCCCACTTTGTTTTCCACAAGTATGTGTATATATTTCTTCCTTGGTTAGTTTCATTATTACTATTCAAATATGTTCATGAATTTATGGTTTTTATACGTACAGTTCAGTAACTTTGGTACACTCGAATCACATGGATTCGCTAGAAACAGGATCTGGGAAGTGGATGCTAGCCCACCTCCTTTGCCAACGAATTCTTCTTCTAATGCTTTCGTTGACCTGATCCTAAGGCCAAGTGAAGATGATCTGAAGACATGGCCTCACAAGTAAGATTCTTCAAAACCCTGCTCCTTATATCTACTTGGAACAGTATGCACGTATTAAGCTAGATATGTCTACATAGAATCTTTGGTACTTTTTCTTTATCAACTCTCAAATAGAAGAGCATTATTAACTTTCATCTCGGTGTATTCATTTCAGTTTTGAGTTCCGAATGAGGGTAGCCTTGGGATCTGAAGGAGAATTGACACTGACATCTCGTATCAGAAACACCAACTCTGATGGAAAGCCGTTTACATTCACCTTTGCTTATCACACCTATTTCTCTGTCTCGGACATCAAGTAATATGCATTCATGTATTTTCATGCCAAGTTGGTGCTATTTTACTGGTCCTTTTAGAAGCTTGAATCTCCATTGTCTTTTGTTTTCATTTTTTCCAAAGTGTGGAGCTATGTTGTATTAAACTCCTACACCTATCTTCTCATGCGTTTAGAATAGAGATTACTAACATGCATATGGGTTTGCTTGTGTTCAGTGAAGTACGTGTTGAAGGATTAGAGACGCTGGATTATCTAGACAACTTAAAGAGCAGAGAACGTTTTACAGAACAAGGCGATGCTATAACTTTTGAATCCGAAGTAAGTCCCAGTCTCTCCTTTCTTTCTGTGATATCTATTTGTATAATTACTTAAACAACAAAAAATCTTTTACTTGTTCAAGACTGACAAGATTTACCTGAGCACTCCTACGAAGATTGCCATCTTGGACCACGAGAAAAAGAGGACTTTCGTTGTTCGCAAAGACGGGCTTGCTGATGCTGGTAAAACCTTCAGAATCCTAGTTTTTATTAGACTATGTTACAAAGCACAAAAACTGAGTCATACAACTATTTTTAGTGGTGTGGAATCCATGGGATAAGAGGTCAAAGGCGATATCAGACTTGGGAGATGAAGACTATAAGCATATGCTTTGTGTTGAAGCTGCAGCTATCGAAAGGCCGATCACGTTAAAACCAGGTGAAGAATGGAAAGGAAGACTCGAGCTCTCTGCGGTTCCTTCTAGTTACTCCAGTGGACAGCTTGACCCCAAGAAAGTCCTCGAGTGATACTCCTCCCTTTCTCTTACAGGTAGCTTCAACGTACATTTTTTTACCTTATGGACACTTTTACGTGTTGCAAACTTCAAAACATACAAATCTTTCGTTTTACTTTGATAAACAGAATACTTTATTTTTCTCTAGTTTACATAAGAGAAACATTTTTTCACATCGTGGTGGTATCCTGATTTTCTTTTGTTTTGTTTTTAAAAATGATTTTGCTAATACCATAGGGTTGATAAAATTACATTTGGATTGTGCAGGGAGGCGTCAAGATGTTTATCGGATTATTATACTATATAGAAAGAAACTGAGTTCGAATAAATAAAAAAATCTCGCTTCTTATAGTTCTCTGTAAACCACAGACAATCACGATTTGTGGATCAAAGACAAGAAGAGACTTGCACTCGTTAAAATTGTGGTTTCATTATATTTTATGGTACATTTGACCACTAATCAGTGCTTGTGTCTAGCCCTTGTCCAGTCAGATCCAAAGGTATTTCTAACATCTCACACGACCAATCTTCATGTTATGTGTGTGTGATCTCAATGCTTTAACTTGTAGAGTATGAAATTGAGCTTTCTCATTTTGAGTTTTTTTTCTATACATTAGAAGCACAGGGATGTTACAGAGTTTCTAGTTTTCATTCCAAAATATCGTTATGGTTTAGCTAGATATTAAGCAAGTTTGATAGGGAAAAAAAAGACGGATTTGGAAAGATTTAATGCCAGAGCTTGAGGCAGACTCCAGCAGGTACAGCACCAGTTTTTGATAATCCCTTACTCTGTATACATTCTGAGAATGTGTCTACAAGCTGTTGTCCCAAAGAAGACGGATCATCCATGAATGTCTCTACAAAGACCTTCACAACTCTAACTTCTCGATGAGTAGCTCTTAAGCTATACCAAGTCAGGAACCTTTCCCTGAAACTCTTGTCTATATGCTCTTCTTGCTCTAACCATCTAATGGTCTTCACTATATGACCCAAGTCTTTATCTTCCACTCCATTGGTCTCAGGTTTCTCCATTGTTGTTCTTGATTTGGATCTTTTATTGTTCCCTCCTTGCTTGCCGTTGAATGTATCACTCTTGCAGGGTGTTACAATCAAGTCTCTTCCCTCTATCTCGTTGACTTTCCTTTTTACCAGCCTCTCGTCTTCAAGCTCAGATTCAACTTCTCCTCCACTGCAGAGTTCAATGTTGTCATTGCCATCATTTTCTATGCTGCAGCTTTTACGGACACTGTTGAATTCCTCGTCGGGTAAAGATGGATTACTACAAAGACCACTGCTCAAAGGTTTGTCTCCATGATCCTTCAACGTTGAGAACTGAAGCGCAGACTCATCTAAGTCACCTTCCTTGTTAAATGCCACGACTCTGAGACAGAACTCAGTCTCTGGTTCAAGTCCTCGGATGGTAGACCTCGTCTCAGGTAGATAAACAACAGAGTTCACCTGAGTAGAGCACTCTCTGTCCTTCATCTTTCGACAAAACAACCTGAAACCAATGATCCGATTTTGCGTAGAAGAAGACGGCTCCTCGTGGTCTAATCTCACAGTGACTGATCTTGCTTGAATCTCTTCTACTCTCACGCTCATCTTGTCACCTAACCAGAACATCATGAGACTTCAAAACAAGAATAATGTGGGAGAAGAGAGAACTAACCTTGTCCTGAAACAGATTCTGAAGTTGGTGAGACCATTTTGTCCAGAGCTTCCATTGCCATAGAACACAGCTTCTGAACTTGTGATCCCGAAGCAAGTCTATTGACGATACCCCGAGCCATCTTCATCTCCCAACCCGATGAAGGACCCACATCACCCTCCAGCTTCTTCACCGCATCATCCATGAGTTCCAACAGATTTGGATACCTCCTTGTACCTCTCAACAGCTTCTGTCCTAAAGAAATACGGTAACAAAGAACATCCACACGCCTAGTCTCTTTCGCCACCTTCACTTGCTTCCTCCAACATCTGTAAGTTCACACACATATTATTACATCACATTCTCCAAACAAATCTATACCCATTGGCAAGAATCTTACCCGAGCAAGTCACTGTCTTTGCCACAGAACACGCAATGAAACATACCATCAAGACCTCTTCCTCCATCATCACACCCAATCCCATAACCCTCTTGCTTCAAAGCACACTCCAAATGACATGACAATCCACAACCCTCACAAGCAATCCATAGACTCGGATCTTTATTATCATCAAAGTTCTGACAAACACAACAAGAACATCTTCTACAAAAGCTATCTTCACTTCCAAGCGCAGCTCTACAAGCTAAATTCTCGCAGCAGATGATGTAACTAGTCATCTTCTGCTTCTTCCTCGAGCTTTTATGGTTAGAACAAGAGGTTTCACCGAGAGGACGAGAGACAAGATTGAGTAGGTTTTCTATGAGTTTTGGTTTTGTAAGACCAGTGTAGTTCCTCTTTTTACCCATCTCTGCACATATGATCTTCATTATCTCGTTACGGCTCCATGAGTTTAAAAGCTCTGAAGCTTCTTCTGGTTGCTTGGACAATGCGTGGATCAGTTCTCGCCTTTCACTTACATTAAGACCTTTCTTTTTTGGAAACTCAGTGCCTATAAGACCTGCCAAAAAAAGAGCACAATCCTTTAAACCCTAAAACAAGTGTGGGAAGAACAGAATGGGGATTCAATTTTGTGAGTTTTATGGGTAAAAGATCATTGATTCAAAGCCTTGAACTTTGTCAACGATAACGATGAGTCTCAACAACTCAGAACCTAAAAATTCAACAATGACGACGAATGCGAGAAATAAAGCGTTTATGTTCATATATTTCAACAGTTCCGACAATGTAAACGACGTCGTGTTAGCGACCTAAAACGCATGATGAAACTAGAACAGTAAGAAGACAAAATACGTTCACGTCGACGACACGAAGAAGAAATGGTACCTTGAAATGAAGAAGGATCCATGTCTTCTTCTGGACCCACATTACTATCAAAACGCCAGATCTTTGAGAGCTGCAAATCAGATTTTTTCAGACAAAGAATAAAACAAAATGTTAAATAATGTAAAAGCTTATAACAAAAAACAATAATAATAATAATAATGTAGATATAACAAAAAAAATCTGAGATGAAAAAACAAGAACATACAAAGTTCTATAAAAAAAGACGGGATCAAAGATGTAACAAAAGAGATCGATAAAAAAAAAAGAGATGGGTAAAGCTTAGATTTTTATTTTTCAAATTATTTTTTCCAAAATTAAACTTTTAAATAACCAAAAGAGGAAACCCATGAAGCTCTCATAAGTCCTAACATAGTACAAAATGTACGTGAAGATATAGATTCGAGGAGAACTCAGTCTTCAGGCTCTATACAAGAACAAAAGTTTATTTTGTTAATTTAACAAAAAAAAATACATAAGAGAATAAAATTATATAAATAAAGGAGAGAAACTGAGGATTGGTTCGTTGTTTCACCGAATGAAATACTTCCAACAACAACAACAACATCGAACAAAGAAAAGTTTTATTACCGAAGCAGCTTGCATTTTGTTTTCGTTTGTGTTCTTCGTTCTTTTTTTGTTTCTCTGGTTTCTCTTTCTTTTTAGGTTTTCTATCTTGTTTGGAGTTTGTGTAAGATAGAATATATTCCCTCTTTTTCTAGATGTTTCTAAGACAAAACCATCTGATGAATCATCTTCTTCTCTGAAAGCTTTTTCTTTCTCTTTAAAGTTTTGTTTTATTCTTTAAATATACAGACAAAAAAAGTTGTAAATATCTGATATCTTCACGTGGTCTCGAAGATATTATATATACACACAAATGCTTTGATTTGACTGGCAACCAATGTTGAGCTTATTTACATAACCTTTTAATTAATATCCCAAGATATTATCGAAGAATTATAAGAATATTCCAATTATAGTCCAAGCAACAAAAGATCTGACTACTTATGGAAGGATCGAAACAACATAAACATTTAGTTAGTAAGTATTTATGTTAATGTCATTAGCAGTTTAGCAGCCTAATTGGTCAGTAACTATTAACGTTATCACTTAACAATATAAATATTTGTGTTTCGTGCACAATCCCACTGCAAACCAATTGATTTTTATTTTGTTAAAATCTTATATAATGAATAATTTACATGACATATTGCCTTAGTTCACTTTAAAAATGTATTCACTATGTAAGTCACTCTACAATATAGCTGACTGTTAACATATTAATTTGCCCATAAAAAGGTGGCCCAACAACCAAGAAAGGTAATTGCCATGAGGTGGTGTTATCTTATTAGCATAGTACATACGATTTCTTGCACTACTTCTAGAACGGAGAAAAAGATTTGGTTGAAGGAATACAAAATAATATTCGATCTGATAATTATGTTAGAAACTTAGAATAAACAAACGAGCGATTTGGAATAGAAGTTTTACTGTTACTATTTGTTTTTATAAAATAAAACAATAACCCTGTTCTGTCTTATAATTTTTTCTTGCATAGAATATCTATGTTAAAATTATTTTTAAAAAATTGTGTCAAATTATTGCAGTGCGTCACTTTCACGCACTAAAAAGTCGAAAACGTCAAATTTTCTGTGTATTTATTTCCTCAACATTGACATCATACAAACTAGCAAATAACAAAGTTACCTGATACATGCAACAAAACATAAATATGTTTTCCACAAACATTTTATTTGGAGTAGTAGTCTCACTCGTTCAAAAATGACAAATCTTTTGTTGGCTAAATACGGCTGAATCTGTTGTATCTTTGGACCTCAAATGTGAAAAAAACGACCATATCAATTTTTGTTGCGATCACTAACGAGAGGTGCGGCTGCAGGGAGCTACCGAGCTAGTGAAGTTAATTCTGTAACTTGTGATGAGGTACATAAACAATGGTGTTTATTCTAATTATGAAAAGTAACTATGTTGAAAACTAACTGAAAATGTGTAAGAAAAGAGGAAGACAAATCAAATCACAAACCAGTCCATAAGACCTATACGTCCATTAAACACACAACAAATGACTCAACGAGTACTAACTAAAATTGAATCCGTATTGTTACATAGTTTAGCTAACCTTCTGTATGTTAGTAATTCAACATGTAAAACGCTAGAGTGCTAACTATGATCAGTTCGGAATAATGTTGATTTGAAGATAATAGATGAATAATTAACAAAACATTGAAAATGGAATTTTATATAATAAAGCGATCATTTTCAAATATATACCGAGCAACTGAGTAGGTACTGCTTACAGCAAGAACTTCTTAGGGTTACAAATACGAAATTTGGACAGGTACTGATTAAACTGCAGCAAGAATTTGGTAGGCTTGTAAGAAATAGCCTTCCAGTGAGCTTGTGCTTGGTTCAAAACACATAATAGAGTCGATCATATATAATAATAATATTATGATTTGATTCTCCAAAAGGAAGAAGAATCTTTGATTGTGACACAACTAAAAGCTGAATATACATAACTAGATAATCCAAGGAGAGGCTTGGTGATGATCAAATACAATACTACGACTACTACAGTTTCTGACAATCTCTTAAAGCAAAGAACCTTCACTTGTATCCATGGTTTTGGTTTGGAGTTCCAACATTCTCATACTCCCTGTTGACAGAGAGATGCATTATATTAACACAGATGATAGATACATCAAAATAATTTACTAAGAAAGAGTGCAACAAAGATATAAAGACGAGAGAAGTTTACAAGTATACCTCAGCTGTCAATGGAGTTATGGATTCCCTGCAACAAGTTTGGCCATTGTTTTAATTTTGTTTCGTATTATCATCTTTGTTTAAGTCAGACCTATGTGTTAGTTTAAATGATAGAATACCTTTCGCTGTTCTGATTTTGGGAGGTGCTTAGACATTATGGACTCCTGCAATAACAGAATTTTTGAAAAAACATTCATCATTGTAGAAGGGAATAGATGGCTGAAGAAAATGTCTAAGTGGCAAGTAAAGAAAAAGGACCTGTTCTTGGATTATGCTTCTTGCCTCAACGAGCTGAGCTTCAAGTTCAAGCTCTCTCTCTGTTGCTTCAGAAGTAACAGATGCTCCTTTAGGTGTATCTTGTAACTGAACCATGCGCTCCTTTATTTTATTCCACCAAAGGAAATAAGAAGAAAGAAGTTAGTTAGGTACTGATAACGATTGATATATTGCGTAAATGGAAATGTCCGTAATAAAAAAACCTTTATGGAAGCCATCTTAGTGCGCAAACTTTCTTCTATTTGACCTCTAGCCATCCGGAATGGTAGATCAAAGACATCCTGTGTAATGACTAAGTTAGACACTCAATTATCTACCATGATAAAGGATTCAATCATCTATTATTAAACTTCATACCGTCTTTCCACCCAGTGGAGATTGTGAAGGATCAACCTCACGTTTCTCATTGCCAGCCAATGAAGGATTAGCTGACCCATTCGGAGCGTTTAAGAAATCACGCATATCTGTCTGCAACAAAACCAAAGAAAAAACTTTGCTTATGAATAAACATGTTAACACACTGAGGTTAGGCCAAGTGTGAAAATATAGCATACCTGCATGGATCGAAGCAGTGCTCTTAGGTTAGTGTTTTCAGCCATTAACTCTTGGTTTTTTGCTTCATATGCATCCACCTGCAGGGAACGACATTATTAAGGAAATGCCGTTGATACTTAAAACTTGAAACTCTATGTAATATTAGCGAATTGTTATAGCTAGACTCGTACTATCTTTTTGTAGAAGTCAGTATCAGTCTTCTTGCCGTTCCAAGTTCCACGCTGCCTCCCTTCTTTCTATTTAAGTACATACAGATTATCAGTCAAATGGAAAGTCCAACATTCATCATTAAGGTTTGGAAAACTATAAAGGATGCTAGTAAAGGACCTGTAGCAAATTCATGATCTCCATTCCTGATTTTGATTCTTTCTTTTTCTCCATCAGTACTTGATTCAACCGTTCCTGCGAGAGACACAAAATTTATCTATCATATTGCAGATCAAACATGATAAAGAGAAAAGTCACGTTCACAAAAGACGATACACAACCTGCAATTTAATGTAATCCTTCTCCTTTTTCTTCATTTCATGTATCTGTTGAGCTTTGACTTGCTATTCAGAGATCGGAAAAATAAATGTAAGACAATCCATCAGTACTAATTTCATAAAGATGAGCTAGTAAATTCAAGCAGAATAAAAAACTAATCAGACCTGGTTACCAATCACCATTCTTTGAAACTCATCTCTCTCCTGCTGTAGCTTTTCAATTTGGGACTTCAAAGCTGCTGTGTTTTTGGCTTCCTGTCCAACAAGTGAATCCACAATCAATCAAGAGTCTAAGCAAAAAGAAAAAGAAAGCCAGATCAGCTGAAACATGACAAGACTCACTGTTCTAGTAATCGTTGCAATTTCCCTGTCCTTGTGTTGAAGCTGCGCATCAAGCCTCTCAACTTTAGCTTCAAGTCTAGCTATATCCGATTGTTGTCTATAAACAAGTAAAAGAAACCCAAATAAACCATAACAAACACCCCTTCATCAGTTTCCAATAACCAAAAGTAGAAATATTTAAACATCAAAACTATATAAAAGCAGCATAAAACCAATACAACTGCAAAACAACACATTTAGCTAATCAAAATTACATACAATAATCAAGATCCCAGATCTTTCTTTACAGAGGTCAAAAATAAGTAAACAGTGACTAATATCAAGTGGATTTAAACGAAAAATCACATTAATTCTCAATTAAGTATAAGGTTCAGTAAAGGCAAGGAAATAAAAAAAGAAGTTCACCTCTGCCTCTGCTCATTAGCAGATTCTCTAAACTCCAAGTCACGTTGTCGCTGCTGAAGCAAAGAGTACATACAGTTACACGTCCTTGAGATAGAAACCTAACCACCAACAGATAAAAAAAAACTAATCAAAACCGTCACCACAACAGGATAAAAAGACGAATCATAACAATTAAAACGCACCGGATCATTGGAAAAGAGATCGAGCGAAGCTGGGAATCCAAATGTAACCATCGTCTGATTCAAGTACTTTGCACAATGCTCCAAGTTGTCAACGTTCGCGAATGTGTAGTCCCTTCTCAAATCCAAAAACACACAAAATCATAAACCCTAACTCATTGGAGAATGTATAAAAACCCTAAGGAGGGAGGATGAAGAGAGCTAACTAACCCCGTCGCGGACTGAGATAACACCTGTGAAAAGCAAGAAACGAAAATGAATCACGGAAAAATTTTGAGAAGACGGATTGGATTAAGAGTAAATCTTACTTTGGGATCGAACTCATTATCAGTCGGCGGCATTTTTGAACGGCGCGAGGCGACGATGAATCACAGGAACAGATCTAATCGAGCCGTGAGAGAGAGAGAGCGAAAAGAAATTTCAAAAATCAAATTTTATTGAAACGGAATGTTTCTGGAGAATTGCAGAAAAAAAGGTTTTTAATTTAAAAACCTCTGTCTCTTTCTCTCTTTTGCTTTTTATTTCAGTAATATTCAAAATGATTTTTTTTTTTAATAATGAGCTTTCATTTGCTGATGGTGGTGGTGACTGTAATTCAGTGCACTCATCTTTAAGCAAGGAGAAACATGGGCCCACGTCGTTTGAATTGGGCATAATGCGCCCTATGTACGGCCCAATAAGTTTATGTTTTGACTTGTGCTAATGCAGAATTGCAGATGAACACATCGACAAATTGAGTATTCACTGTATAGGAGATTATCTAATGATGAAAGGAAGGACTGAAAAACACTTATTATATTGCTACAACGAATCTCAAAGATCTAGTGAGCTATAAGAAATCAAATATAGAATCAACCAAGAAGACATGAAGCCGCATTCTTTCTACATAACCAAGACAACGAATCAAACCAAGGTACAAACCACATTCATGCATCTACAACAACACTCCACCAAAAAGCCTAGTCGAGACAAAGCAGGGAAGAAGACAACACCGTATCTGGTCCTTTCACCACATAAAACTGAAGAGGGCAAAGACATGTGACTAAAACCTCTACACCAAAGCAACCTAAAAACTAGCAACCACACAGCTAAGGCAAAAGACTGAAAAATCCAGCAGAACAAAAGACTATAGAGCCACAACACTTGATACAACGCTACTTGGCCAGAAAACCAGAGGCGACTGAAAAAAGTTTGTAAACTAATTACTGTTTTATTATGTTATTTTAGTGCTCTCGAACTACGATACCTCATCCCTGAACATAAAGTCTCCATGGACTTCTCAGTCATCTCTCTGTCATTCAATGAAACATAACATAATCAAAGAGTTAAAGATAGGATGAATATATCTTGTTTCAAGTAAGAAACGATTTACACCTAACTAAATCTGAGTTGCCACTTGCCAATAGGTCAAATGAAGACAACGAAGGATGTTATATATTGCACTCCTTAAGGCATGCACTACCATTACAGAATCAGAGAACAAATTGAAAAGCATGTAGTAAACTTCCAAAGCAAATGATTATCAATATCATCAAATGTACAGGATTCTTACAGAAAGCAATAGCATGAGGAACTGTTTATAGAATCATTATAAATAAAGACAACCCAAAATTGAGACTTTTAAATATAAAATTTACACAAGAGGATAAATATGAAAGAACCTGACTTGCTGCAACCCATCTCCCTTAGAAAAATCTACATAAACATCACTCAAAAGTCCAAAAACTCATGATGCTCCAACTAAAAACTTACCCTGAATAGAACAATGGATCACCCAACTCCACAAATCCCCTCCCTTGTGATCACAAACTCACAAGAAGAAGCAGGCAAATAAGGTGAAAAAACAATATCAAACCGTCTCCTATCTCTTCTACCCACAGAACTCGAACCACTCTCATCATCCTCCCTTCTCTCTTCACAGATACCATCACCACTCCTCGAAATAAAAACCCTAGAGTTCACACAATTAGCCCAAGCCAACCCCAAAGCCGGAACAACTCGTCTCCCAGACGAATACAAACCCCTCAAATTCCCAATCCTCAACCCACTCAACCCATCAGAAGACTCAACAAAATCCGTCACCTGATTCGTAATCACAACAACCAAACCAAACCTATCCGCTAACCGCTTCAACTTCCCCGACACCTTGAAAAACAAAGAAGATCTCTTCCTTAGATCACCCGGAGTGTTCTCAAACTCCGACCTGAACAACGCCGCGACGGAATCAAGAACAATCAGCTTCAAAGGAAGCCTAGTTCTAGAGCTTTTAACGAAAGAATCTATCTTAGGCATTACGTCGAGCAAGTGGTCTACAGAATGTACGTTTTGCACGAACACGTGATCGCACGGATTATCGTTGTGATCCGCGTAGATGTTAGGGTTTGATAAATGAAACGATTTAGAGAGCTGGTGGAGACGGCGAAACGGGAAGGGGAGCTCGGAGTGGAGATAGAGAGAGGAGCCGTTGAGTCCGCCGTTTGAGATTGGGAGCTGGGCGCGGAGTGAGAGCTGAAGGCAGAGCTGTGTTTTTCCGCAGCCGCTCTCCGCGACGATTTCTGTTAGGGAATTGCAGGGGAATCCTCCGCGGAGACATGCGTCGAGGGCTTCGCAGCCGGTGGTTAGCTTCAGGCTCGTCGGAGATTGTGAGACGAGGCTACGCGGTTTCATTTTTTTTCCATTTCACCGCCAAAAGCTATTGATTTTGAAAAGAACACGAAAGTAAAAAAGTTGGTTCTTTGATTGGGCTTTTCAAAACTTATCTGTAGGCCCAATAAGGGAGAGAGTGATGTAGTAGACGATGTCGTTTTTATGGATACCACTCCCTTCAACAAAAAAGCCAATTAGTTTTTTTTTTGGTAAAAAAAAATTGTTAGATAAAAAGAAAAAAAAAGTTTATGAAGTAAAAGTAATTATTAAGCTAAAGTTAAAAATTTTACACTTAATAATCAAATCTGGTTCAAAACTTGTTCACATTTTGCAGATTTCCTATCTTTTGCATGTATAATTTCTTTTAACTTTTATCATCAATCTAATTTGTTTATGTCTCCAGTTAACAGTTGAATCGGTTTAATCGTTAGCCCAATCTGTTTTTAAAAAGACTGGTATTATATAAATCGATACAAATCTTGATCTGACATTTCTTGTTTGGCAAATAAATTTGCACATGTGTTTAATCCTCAATTTGAATTGGTATTAAAAACTAAAACAAATATTTTAAATATTTAATATTCTATCCATTGTATATAATAACTAAAAATATAGATAGCTAAAGTATTAATAACTGAATCTGAAGTGAGTTAGATCTGAAATAATACAAACTAAAGGTATATATCATGAAACTGAAGTTAGAAATTTTTTGAAAGCATATTAATTGGTAAATCTCTGATAAATGAATGAGAGGATGCATATATAATTAGAGATGGGTCTTGAGTGTATGCTAGAATTAAAGATTGGTGAAAGAAATAAACACAAAATCTATTATTATACTTTTTTTAACGATGAGTTTGATTCAATCAAAATACAAAGAAGACATTGTTTCAATGATCTAACTCCAACAGCTGGACGGATCTAAAGAAAATAATGCAAAAGATACTGAAGGTAAAGAAACAAGACAACACAAATGGCCACAGCGGAGGGGAAACATGACACTATCAGTAGATAGCATATGCTGATCCACAACCATACCAGACTTTAACTTCAGAGCATATCAAAGACACAAGCAAGAAGCAGTTAAACGTAGAAACACAACACTACCATATGTTATCGGAGATTGCTCTTTTTAATGCTCAAACACCAGAAAACATCTCGAGAAGACTTATGTTTACGGTCATAACCGAAGTTGAAACCATCTCTGTACCAAGAAGCAACACTAAGAACCATTCGCTTCCCTTTCAATAACAGTATGAAACCATCGAATTCACCTTGCGACTTCTACAATTTAGGTAAACATGAGCCAAAGCTCCAGCCGAAAAACTCAGTCAAGAGCTTAAGATTAACACAGGTCAACACCATGACTGAACCGTTGCCATCAAAACCAAAATAAAACAATCTTCAACACCAGCAATTCAAATCAAACAAAGAACCAAGGTTGCTCTCTATAACCAACGCAAATGAACAAAAACCACAGAAAAGTTTATCAATAAAGCAGCTTCTCACGGACAGAACACTTGTCCCATATGTGTTTCCAAAGATGATGGAGGACGAGCTAACAGCCCCAACCTCAAGACACCACACACGCCACCAATAAGTATCTCTACAGATCTGAAACCTGCACAAAGAGAAGAAATAACCGCATACATAGTCAAGCCGCGTGCACAAACAAGTTAATTCCCCAACCCTCTCGAGCACCCCTGATGTCGAGAGCTAGTTGGATGAAAAGTCTGTCAACACACGCCCCAACCCACCGACGAAAATCACATCATCTGCTCGTCAGCAACCAGATATGACACATGACGAATGAAACTCAATCCACCACGACCATAAACAACACAGACAAAGAAAACAAGAAGTAATAGACAGGAACAGAAGATAGTCGAGGAATAGAGAAGAAGAAAAGCGGGTTTTCCGGCGACCGCGCGCAGGAGTCGACGTTCGCTAGAGAGCACATAAACTAGGTTTTGACCTCAAAGATTATAGTGCCGCTACTTCTATTATAAGCTATGGATTCAAATCTAGGAGGATGTTATTGAAATGATGAATTCAATCGAATTTAGTGTATTTATAATTGGAAGTTTTGTATTGGACTTAACTGAACCTTTTAAGTGCCTTCCGGATTACAGTGGTTTTGATTGTACTATATTTTATTTTTTATTATGGATTTTAATAGAATTTCTCAAAGTAATTTATTACTAAAATAGTTTTACAGAATAATTTATTAGAAATCAGGGGGTTTGTAGAGAAGATATCTCAGAAGACATTTCCCAAATCACATACCCTCATCATCTGTTCATACCTAGCCTGTGACCTCTCTTTTCTTTTGACCTTTAATCCCAGTTTCATCCTCAAATTGGGTGAGATGATGATAGCCTAAAAAGCAACGTTGAAAGTAAGTGATTGCTGCTCATCTCACTGAACCTGGTGATGAAACTGAGAAATGTAATAAATCTGACACAGTTACTCTTGAACGGCGGGGACGTTCTCATTTCTTTGTTAAAAAAAATGGATTTCATGTAGACAATTATTTCTCCCTACGTGAATAGATACGGTCACTCTTAAATTACTTCAAAAAACAGATAAACAGCAGGTTACTGCAAACCATTTCGTCTTCCATTGGGCCTGTGTTCCAACTCAGTTTTGAGGCCCAATACAGTAAGACAAGAATAATGTAGCAACGACGTCGTTTCCATCACTTTCTTTTCCATTTCATTCTTCTTCTTGTTCTTCCCCGATTGTTCTCAGATCTGATAATGCTCTGAATGATTAATCGATTCCGAACCAAGGCTACATCGTAGACCGAATCCTCGCGATTCATAAAATCTCACAGATCAAAAATCCGAATCGCGATCATGTCGTGCCTAGCCCTAGCTCTCCAACCGGTAAACGGATCTGACATCTTACTCCAAACCAGAGAATGGTTCCCACCGGCACGAGCCCTAATCGCTCTCTCCTACTTCCGCCAAACGCGTCAAGCCTTTTCCTCCTCCTCCACCTCCTCAAAACAACAACAACCTCCTTCCAACCGTAAACACTCTCAACCTTCCTCCTCCTCCTCCTCCGTCGCAGATCCCGACGACGCCGCGGCGGCCGAATTCGTAGGCGACGATCCCCTCGCCGCCTCAAACGGACAAGTCATCGTCGGCGTCGAGAGCAAGTACCGCGTCGTCTACCGACTCGTGAACTCGATCTACATCCTCGGCGTGACCGTCGCGGATCACGACAACTCGATCAACGTATTCGAGTGCATCCACATCGTGAACCAGGCCGTTAGCGTGATCGTAACGGCCTGCCGCGGAGTCGAAGTGACTCCCGAGAAGCTGGGAAGGAAATACGCTGAGGTTTACATGGCGCTTGACATTGTCCTGCGCGGGGTTAGTAATATTCGATTGGCTGCGATGCTTGGCGCGATGCACGGAGATGGGATCGCGAAGATGGTTCACTCGGCTTTGGATACGGAGAACAAGATCAGAGGAGCTGATAGCTGGATGGCGGTGGAGTCTCACGCCGCGGAGCATCAGGCTGCTGTGAACGCGTTTGCGAATGCGAGATTCGAGTTGCCGGGGGAGACTATCGCGGCGGGGGATGAAGTGGCGGCGAGTTTGGCTCCTGTGGTGGTGCAAGAAGCAGAGCAAGTGAAGGAAGAGAGTGAGGTTGAGAGTAAGGATCCTTTCGCGGCGAGCGAGACGATTAATAAGGAGAAGGAGCTTGTAGGCGGGTTTAAGAAGACTAAGGATGCTTCGTCGAATGATCTGACTTTGGCTTTGGCGGGTATTGAGGTGACTACGTTGCCCCCAGCCGAAGCGACGCAGTCTACGACTATTAATGTGGAAGGGTTTGAAGGGGAGTACGGAGGGATTGCGTTTAGTAATGAGCAGGCGACGATTGGGGAGACTTTTGAGTCGTTTAGTGATGCTTGGGGAGGTGGGTTGGATCCTTCGGAGTTTATGGGAACGAAGAAGATTCAGAAGAAGGAAGGACTCGGCGGGCTTGAGCTGTTGCATACGAGTGATCCCAAGGCGGTGGAAGGTAAAGATGGAGGTAATGTTGATGACTTAGTTAAGAAGCCTGTGATGAAAGGTCCCGAGATGTATATCTCTGAGGAAATTAGAACTGAGTTTAGAGAATCCTTGCTTGCTAGAGTAGGACTAATGGGTGTGATTTATCTGAAAACAATGCCACCTAAAGGCTCTGGTGAAGAGAAAGAAACAGAGTTCTCGTTCCGTGTTGATGGTACTACTCCTGTTAAGAGATTCTCTATGCAGAGTTCTCGGATTAGTAGCTTAGGGAACGGTTTGTTTCACGTGAGAACCGCTCCTTCTGAGGAACCAATACCTATCTTGAAGTATAGCTTGCAACCTAAGCTAACACCTTTGCCTCTTAGAGTGCGGATGGTGAAACGAGTTAGTGGGACTTTACTCTCGTTGATGATACAATACGTCTCATGTCCGGACCTACCTGAGCCTCTGAAAGACGTTGATTTTATTCTGAAACTCCCTGTTGATCCCACGTTGCTTAAGGTTTCTCCTAAGGCGGTATTGAACAGAACCGATCGAGAATTGAAATGGCAAGTCCCTGAGATTCCTCTTAATGGAAGTCCTGGGAGGCTAAGAGCTCGGATGCCTTTAGACTCAGATAACAGCGAGGAAGAACCAGAGATCATCTGCTACGTGAAGTTCTCGGTTCAGGGAAAGACTTCTTTGTCTGGTATCAGTTTACGCCCAGCTGCTGAGGGAAATACTGATTTTTATGAGGTGGATCACAGGTTCGAAACCGGCATCTACATGTGCAATTGATAAAGTTTTCTCTTAAGAGTTTGATTTGTTTATAAATTTTCTCAAATGTTATAATGAGTTTGGCCGTTGTTGGGAGTTAATTCTGTTTTTTTTTATTCTATTCATGTAAGGTTTTGTGTACTTGTGTATCTTGACATCTCCTCATTGTTATGTTCTGTTTTTTTATCACATTTGTTTTACGTTTAGTTTTGATATTTCGGTATAGGAAACAAGGTATACAATAT